CTCTGCTCACAATTCGGAGAGTCACATCAAGAAGTGCCAAACCTGTTGCTGCAGCGGTGTGTCAGCTGCTGACCCCCTCCTTGTCCTCCCTGCCAGGTTAGGCTCCAGCATCCAGTTCACCTGTAACGAGGGCTATGATCTACAGGGGTCCAAAAGCATCACCTGCAAGAGAGTGAGCGACATAATTGTTGCATGGAGTGACCACAGGCCGGTGTGCAGAGGTGAGCAGACAAATTTTCTTGAGTTATTAGGACTAATGAGAGAACCCAACTCCTTAATATCCCCTTCGTGCATCACCCGTTCCGTCCTCCCGTTTGCCATGGCTCCGTTAGGATCCCTCAGCCTGCCCTGAACCCCATGTGCAGGTCCATTCTCCAAACCTGGCCCTGGGCAAGGGGCACGGCTGGCACAGCCACCCCTCGGTGCTCACAGCTTGGGAAAGGTGAGTGCCCTGAGTGCCTTTGTGCTCTGGGAAGTGGGATTTCGGTCCTGCCAGTGTCGTGGTCGGAAGTCAGTAGGATCTTTATTCTTTTCTAATGGTGATTCTTGTTTTCTGGCTGAGCAGGAGTATAATATGGGTTTAAATTTTCAGTCTCTTCAGCACAAGCCTGAGAAAGAAACCTTTGCTTGGCTCTCATGTAATTTTTTTGGTTCCAGAATTTCAGTTTTTAAGAAACACCTGTTCCTGTGCGTAATGGAACTAATAGAGTATTTCCATTAACTGGGGAGCCTCATAAGCTGTTAGCTCTGCACCATGTGAATTGTATTTGTGTCCTTCATATCTGGTACTGTGTCCCTACCTCTTAGCAATGCTTTCTGTCCCCTCTGTTCTCTCTATTCCAGATATTTCTTTTTATGGGATAAGAGGGAGAGGGGAGAAGAGGTGAAAGCCTGAAACAAAATCTGGAAAAGCTAAGATGGAGGGAGATTCTGTTATTGGAATGTGCTGCTAGTAAGCAGCAACATGGGATTACTTGGACTGTAGTTCCTAACTAGTGTGATCCTGATTATCCTGTGGCTCAGCCGTGAGCCAGCAGTGAATGGAGTTTTCTTTCAGCAAAAACCCTAATGCCCATTTTGCCCTTGGCCATTTTGTTTTCGTTCCTTCCCTCTCTCTTAAAAAGTGGTGTGCATAATTGTGATATTTGTAATGCTAATAATGAACAACTTGTAATATTTTGAATTAAATCCCTCTAAAGCTCTTAAAGTCATAAATTGGTATTTTTCTGTTCTTTTTTCTTTAATTTCATCTGCAGATTTTTTCAAGGTTTTGGAATCCCATCTAATTCTTGAAACAAGCCTAGAATAAATTCAATCAGTGTAAGAGGATATTTGGCATAAATATGTGACACTATAAAGGAAATTTATGGTGTCCTCTTGCAAGAGATAAGAAGGGATTTGCCGGCATTATTATGATTCTATGAATCAACTTAATTTTTTTCAACCACTAACTTTGGGGTGTTTCTCTTTTTAAAAACTTTGCCACTTGCTTTTTAGTTAGTTTGGGTTTCTACCACTTTTTGTGTTTGTTCTATTTTGCATTTCTCTCAAATTGAGTATTGAGTTTGGCCAGGAGATTGCTTTCCATCCTTACTGCTATTTGGGGAGGGGAAGCCTTGCAGATGCCACACGTGCAGCTGTGGCTCCTTCGAGGTTTTGGATAAATTCATTTTGAGGATCCATAACAGCAGAGGAAATTCATTTTGAGAAATAACAGCAGAGGCAGTTACAAACCAGGATGCTGTTCTTCACACTTTCTTGTTAAATATTACATCAAAGGAATACCACAGGCAAAAAATTTCCCCACTTAACCACTTTTCAGCTTCTACGTTGCCAAAGATGTTTTTTAAGGTACAAAATTTGAGCTGCTGTCTTGGTTCTGAGTCCACAGTCGTACCAGAATGAAGTCAGCCCTTACCTGGTAAATACTTGCTGTGCAGTATTTTTGTTGACCTGCAATGGAGAAGGCAAATACAGCCTTCTGGGGACATGAAAGAGGAACTGTGTCTTACCTGGCATCTTCTGTGTAGTTGGTTTCACTGTCCTGGACATGGAAGTATTTCTGTAAGGGCTTTATTATAGTGAAAAATAAACAAAATAAGTCTGAGCGCTGGAGAATGGGTTGCTGGTGGTTGGACTGGTGGTCCATCTGTTTGATAGGCCCTGGAAACACCTCACTCATCCATTCATTGCAGAGAAATCCTTCATCTCTGTTGCATGGAAGAAAAAAAGGAATTGTTTGGCTAGTGAAAACAACACTGAGCACAATTTTTCGTTTTCCCCCACCCTCATACTGTGTGCATCTCTGTTTCTCTCTCCTCCTTAAGCCAAGAACACAGTATATGTCCCAAAGCTGAGACCTCACTACTACGTCTCTCTTGTTTTCCTCTTCACAGCCAGGATGTGTGATATGTACCTTCGTGGTCCCAGTGGTGTGATAACTTCTCCCAACTACCCCGTACAATACGATAACAACGCCTACTGCGTGTGGGTCATCACTGCGCTCAATCCGGCCAAGGTGGGTCTTGGAGGTGCATCTCCATGTCATTGCTTCAGTGCTGTGGTTGAAAAGTTGTATAGCTGTGCTGCTTCGGAGGGCTCCTCTGGTATTTAGTCAGGATTCTGATTCCCATGTTTCTCCCCTCCTCTCCCCCCACAGACTACTTCCACGTGCTTCTCAACTGTCTTTAAAGACCGTAACACATCACATTCCCTCTCTGCTGAAAATTCATTTTGTTAAAGGATGTAATTAAAAGTGAATGTAATTATTTTTAATCGAAACCTCTTTGATATCTTGGCGTGAATAGTGGTGAAATGCCAAACAGCTTAGCAAAGCATCTCATTAAGCCAGCTCTTAGTTGGGGCAGGAAGGCTGTGCCAGGAATGCTGATTTTTCACTTTTGACTGGTAGCTGACCCCTAACCAGTGGGGATTTCAGCCCCCAGAGGGCAGGGGGAAGGTGAGGAGGGAGGTATGCTTCTGTCTGCTGCTATTTGTGCAGTATCGTGCTTTTATAAACAAGTTTTTCCTGTGTTCACAGAGCTCTGGAGCAGGGAAGGTTGGTGATGGTTTCTTGTCCCCGCTGGTCTGCATGTGTGATTGAAGTCTGTTGTCACAGATCATGTTGAGAACAAGGCTCGACTGCCTTGGCCTCTGCAAGATCAAGTCCCTTCTGTTTTCCCCTGGCTCAGGGAGGGCGATGTTCAGTGCCTCATGTCTTTTTCCAGCCCTGCAAACTCAGCCTGTTCCTCTCCTCCAGATCTGAATGGGAACACAAGAACAAAAAATTACTTTGCGTGTAGCTCAAAATACACTTTCTGAGGTGTTATTCACCATCTTCTGCTGTCAGGAGACAAGAAGTTTCATTCTTTTCAGTGTCTAGGTTCCTACTAACATCATCTCTGTTAGCTCATGAGCAAATCTCGCGTGCCAAGGCACTGAGCTCATGCGTGTACTCGGTCAGTTATGCCTTGGTTGGTCCTTGCCTCCAGACAGTCCTGCGTTTTGGCACTCTGCCTTCTGCTGCTGATCCAAGGAAGGCATTTCACAAATGTGTTAGTGTCCCAGCATCTCATCTTTTGCTAGAAATCGTTAGGTCTGTAGAAATGCTGGCAGTGCCTGCAGCTGTGGCCGGCTTGCTGCTGCTGGTGGGATGGCATCTTGTGCTCTTGCCTCCAGTGCTGCCCGGGCAGCTGGAGCTGGGGCTGGCCAGGAGCTTGGGGAGTCCTGCTTCCCTCTCCCCATTGACCTCAGATTAAGCCTTTAATAAATGCAGATTGCTGCTGGATTATGGTTTTAATGAGCAGTATTCCTGCATTCCAATTTCAGAATGAGTTTGTGTTTAAAGGGCTGTCATTAGCTGGCCATTTCACCCAGCGGATGTCTTGGGTTGGCCGCATAGGAGCGTAGTGATGACCCAAATTCTGGGAAACTGGAGTGTGGAATCAGGATATCTTTCAGTGCTGACTTATTAGGAGTGATTCACTGGTTAATCAGACCCAGGAGGTTCTCCTTCGTCAGGGTGATGTGCAAGTGGAGAACAGACCACATGTAACAGCAGCTCTTGCTGCTCAGGTGTCAGCTGTGTTTTTCAGCCCGTGGCCTGCAGAGCTGTGGGGATGCACTGCCTGGGCACCGACACGTCGTTGAGTACATCGACGTCTTAGGCTGTGCTAGGCATATCACATACATTTATTTTGGTGCATCTTTGTCTTTCAAAGGTCAGCAAAATCTGGTTTTTGTGATATCCAAGTCCTCTGGAAAGAAGTTATAGTGAGCTAGGGTAGCCATGCCCTGGGTATTACGTAGGCTAACGCTTCTTTTGGATTTTCTGCGACAAATTGTGAAGGAGGAGATGGCCCGTAGGCATCTCTTGACAGTTGTTTGCCATGTCCACTGTTTCATTGACCCTTGGTCACATTCAGAGTCGAATATTCTTGCTTTTCTGCCAGCCTCGTGCACAAACTTCTCCTGCCTCTCCCTCGGCAGTGTGATAGGACAAGCTTCTTCTTTTGGAAGCTTCCTGGGCAGACTGTCTTGTTTATCAAAAACTTACTGTCTCTGGGAATTTCTACTTACGGAAACTTTCTCCTCTTCCCCTGGTTAGTTTCTTCCTCAGCTTTTAGACCTGTGTAATAATAAACTGTTGAGCAGAAAACAGAATCTGCGAGTCCTGATCCTCAGCTTCCATAAATCAGATGGGACTGAAATTGGTAACATCCATTAATTTTGATAATTACCAACTGGGAGCAGAGATTCAATAGCAAAAGTGCTGTTTATGATCCATGGGCTGCAACATCACACGCTGTAAAGAGGTGTAGCACAACTGAAATATAAGGATAGATTAAACAAATCAGCAGCTTGTATTGACTCTGTAAAGAGACTGCCATTTCCTCTTTATTTGAAGTGATAAATAGTTAATTAGTAATATCAGTTTATAAAGGGTTTGAGTTTTGGATTTTTCATCCTGGAAGCGTGATTTACAGGTAGGGAAAAACTCTTCATCCCTGTGAAGCAGGCAGGATTGGGAGGGATGCACTAATGGTTTTGGGAAAGCCATTGCTGTGCCTCCTCCTTCCTTCGGTGCTTCGCCCGGTGCTGTTCCTCTGTGGGAATGGCAGAGCTGGCACTGTGTGGGCTTCCTTCAGGCACCCCTCGGGAAGATGGAGAATAATGGAAACAAATCAATGGCCCTTAGTGTTTTCTGCTGTTTAGAGAATTCATTGAGGCTCTGGAAACCGAAGTTCTGCAGGCAGGACCACATCTGATGCATGAAAACTACCAAAAGGCAAGTAGAGTCACTGGTTTCTTTTGACCAGCAAGCAGCTCCCAAGGCTGGAGCCTCCCAGCTTCGGAGGCTGACCCAGTATACAGCACTGGGAGTTGCTGGTATGTGGCTTTAAACACCAGCTCGGTCACTGGTATTCCTACCTAACAAGTCATCTAGTGCTGTCTCTGAAATGCACACGTAGACTCTGGCTTGCTTAGAGCATGGCCCATGTTGGAAACATGTTGGTAAACTGGAGAATTCACGTTGCCTTTGTGTGCCAGGGGGATGATCTCATCACCGCATGCTCCCCAGCGTGGCTGAGGGAGGGGCTGGAAGATGAATTAATTAAAATGCCTGTAAAATAACTTTGAAGATAAAAGCATTATGGGCCTGAGCTGAAGTCAGTGGTAATCTTTTTATTGACTTGAGTGGTCTTTGGATCAGGTCCTGTTACATGAAGCTTTTAATACGAGCGATGGGAAAACCACCGAGCTGAATTTAGAACTCATTTGCAAGTCATCTGTTCTATATTTGGAAAAGAACTGTGAGCCAGATTCACTGAGCTACATAATCCCCTCCAAGTTTGCTCAGAAACCTACACAAACAGTATTAAGGGCATCGTGCTTTTCAGCCGACAACTTGGAATTATTTCCTATGCAGAGGGCAACGCACCGAACCAATTTAGGGGGTATTCAGGGTATGTAGATTTTTTTGCTGGTCTCCAGTGCCATGGGAATTAATTTCAACCGTAGTAGAAAAACAAATCACTTGGGAACTGGGAAATGCATATGATAATTGGTGAATTTGCATCAAAACTATTTCTGAACCTTCTTGACATAACGGATGTTACTGGATGATGTTTCTCCAGGGGTTATTCTCACCTGGAGCCTAGCGAGCCAAATAAAGCTCTGTCCAAGCTTCTGGTGTCATCGGTGGAGAGAGATGGGCCCCTCCAGGGGATGATTCATCCCAAATGAAGATGGATGCTTGAGGCTGGGGAGAGGTGGGGGGGAAATGAGTGATGTACGCTCGTAAAGCATTTGAATGTAGCTGCAAGAGGGGCTATGCTTTGTGGAGAGAATTATTGTGGATTTTTTCCAATGAGTGTGACTGCACTTCAGATCGCTTTGCAGTGCGAAGCCTCAGAATCAGGTGTCATGTTCCAGCCTGTTTTCTTGACTTTGCTAATTGCTTCCTGTCACTTCTGTAGCTTAAAAGTGGGGTTTTGTCAACCGTGTGTTTTTGTGTGCTGGTAGGATAAACGTATATTGCATTCAGCATCCTGTTCCTCTGCTGCAAGGTTTCAGTCTTCAGTACACTAGAATGTAATTAGTTATTTAATTAGGGTCAGACTCCTTAGAATGCAGTTTACTTGAATGACTGGTTTAACTAATGATGTATGCTGTTTTACAGAACTGTGTTCTTTGTATTAATTACATTATTTCATCAGTACATGGTTTAATAGTAGTCTGCACAGGTTAATATTTTGGTATTACTGCTAAAATTAATGGTTCCAAACTTCAGTGAAGTATCACACAGGCTCCTGTTTCATGATCCTGGGGCTTTTGAGTAATAACCTATTTTCAGAATGTCACGGCTAAAGTATCTAATTTGCTTTTCTATGCATTTGAAAAGTATTCATTGCATTTATATGTAGGAGACACCAGCACATGACAATTTAGTCTGAACTATATATATACACCCATTCTTTTTTTAAAGAAGACTCAAGCTGTTCAATGTCTGACTAACCAGTATTTTCTTAAGGGGTTAAAATTGAGTGGCTCTTGCCAAAAAAATATTGTTGGCTTCTTAGAGAGCCCGTACAAGCTGTGAAGAGACCGTAGAAGCACGCTCACGTTTAATGTAACACAGTTGATGATGGGTTTTGGTTTAACTTTGGGATTTTATCCCCCTGTGATGGCACACGTGCTCAAGCGTTCACAGGAGATGCTGCTTTTATAATAGGGAAGATATTACAAGACAAAGATTTTAGTTTTCCAGTGCCTTGCTCCCTTGCCCCAAGTCGAGGTGTAGGGTGGCATCGCGTGTCTGGGGTCCTCGGCACGTATGTAGGTGCTTCTCGTTAATTGCTTTTGGTAACTGGTTCTATGTTGTGTGAAACAGCAAAAAGTAGCGTGAAACTCGGCTTAATTTAATCTGTTAAAAGTTAGGAATTTCAGTATGTTTACAGGCACAGACACAAGGGTCTGGATGCATTCATGATTTTCAGTTATTTGAAAATAAGAGGTTTCAAAAGCAGCTAAGAGACTTGGAGCACAAACCTCTCGGCTTCGTGGGACCTCTGCTCCTGAATGATATGTAAAAGCTGCATGACTCAAGTGGGGGTAGAAGGTTTGGATAGAGCAGGAGAGAAAACACAGGAGACAAACAGCTGCGGACAGATAGGGTGATTGTGTTTGCAAACAGCTTGAGACTATTTCCTTGAGCTACTCCAGCAGTAATTCACGTAAAGCCTTTCTTGGTCTGGCAGGAGCTTCTGAAAACCAGAACTTTCTGAGCAACATAGAGCAAAAGAAAGGCTCTCTGTACCATATGGAACTAACACACTGCCTGTATGCACGTTCAAATCCTTAATCTTGGGTTTATGAAAGAAACAGTAGCAGTACCTGTGGGGAAAAAGCATGCTGAAATCCCAACACACCTATCTTTATCAAAAGTCATCTAGAAAATCAATAGATAAAGCAGAAAAATCTGAGAGGTAATTTCAGTAAGAGCTCGATCTGTCTGCAAAGAAGTGCTGCAGAGCTATAAGAAGTGAGGGCGGTCACCTTTGGTGATGTCCTGGAGATATTGATGCTCTTATAAATTGCTCCCAGATAGACAAACAGATAGATACACGAGACAAGGGGATCTGCTGGCTGCCTTGGCAGTTGATTCATACTAACGTGATGCATCTTTGCCAGGTTATCAAACTCACCTTTGAAGAATTTGAACTAGAAAGAGGATATGACACTCTGACAGTGGGTGATGGAGGACAAGTCGGAGACCAGAAAACTGTGCTTTACGTGTAAGTAGCATGTTCTTTGTCCCTGTGAGGAATCCCCACCCGAGTCGTGCCTGATGAGATGGAGCTGATGTTTGGATGGAGTCCCAGCCTGCTTGCTGTGCCTCCCTGGATGGTGTGTGTGCTGTTTGTCGTTGTTGATGGAGCTGCTCTTTGTGGGTTCTTCCCTCATCACATTCTCTTAGACTTCAGCTGACACAAGGCTCTTACCTTTGTTTCACTTCTCTTGAACTGCCTTTGTTGGGGCCCCTTAGAGGCTGAGGGTGTCCAGGGAGCTGAGTGAACAGGATTCAAGTTTGGATACAAGAGCAGATGCAAATCAGGCAGGAACTGAGAGCTATTTGGATCTCTCCTGTGCTGTCCTTCTTGCACAGTCATTTTGAACAGTGCAAAGTGGCTGTAAATCCATTACATTTGAGTGACATCTAGAGCGTTTTACCCCCAGTGTGTGTTTGTGTAAATGGTGGCATGTGCTGCTTCAAGGCTGAGAATTGGTCCCCCTCAATTTCTACCCTTTAGTTTGCAGATACGATGTTCTCTGGAGGTTTCTTCAGTAGAGGAAACGTTGTAGGTCGTCCTGTTTTCCTTCCAGGCTTTCTTATATCAGTATTTCCCATCTAGATGTAGGATTTTTGGGGGAGTTTTGGTTGCTTTTTAGTTTGTGTTTGTTTTTTTTTCCAATTTTAATTATGAAGTGAGGACATTGGACCAGTACGAGGCCAACCCAGCCATGCTGAAGGAAGAGATGAAATCTCTGATGCTGCCAGTTTTTAGAATGAAGAATTGCTCTGTTATCAGTCTGTTGTTTTTAGAATTGAAGACCAAGTGCTCTATGTTACAGTGCAGCTAATACAGGGAATAAAAGGGACAAAGGCTCCGTGTTGGCCTTCAGCATCTCCTACTCAGTGCTTGATAACTAGAGGCAGTTTGGGTTTTAGCAGGAAGGAGCGTGTCAATCAGAGTGATCCAAAGGGACGTGTGAGTTAGTAGATGGAAGGCAAGGGTTTTCCCTGACCCATGTGTTTTGTAGCATGTAAGCATCAGTTTGTGGTGTCTGCTCTTTTTAAGGCAGTTTTGAGGTTGGTGAGAGCTCTTGGCTGCTCTGAGGAAAGCGTGTGCTGGGACCTCAGAGTTTCGATGGAGGGTGGCAGGTAGTGTGCACACCACAGGGAGGTTATTCTCCCTTTAAACTTTCATGTCTCTTTGAAGTTTAGTTTTACTAAATAGCATGTTTCACTCCGCATCCACACCTTGCTGAGGAAGTGGTTGCAGGGGCAGTGGATCCCTGTGTAGCGTAGGAGTAAGTCAGGATCTTTTACAGCAGCCCCTAGAAAACGCCACGGTTGAACAAGTGAGCCGTGGTCATCTTTCAGAAGGCTGTTTCTTCTCATTACCCTGCTGGTGTTGGTGGCTTATGTTTGCCCTTCCTCCAGTAAAGTCTCTCCGTTCCTTTTTTGTAAGGTCAGTGAGGAATCAATTTGTGCATCGTTCAAGTGTAATTTTGATAATTGGGTATCATTCCGATGCACTTTACTGAAGAAACGATTCTGCTGTAGCTTCTCTGAATCATTAAAGTAAAATACTGTGTAGCTTTATGGAAATCCAAAATTTAAAAGCTGTTGGAGACCTCAGGGTGCTGTGTACATTTCAGGAAATGTCTCTTGCTCTCGGCATGTCTGTTCTGAGCGGTGCAGTTCAGTACCACGAGCACGAAGTGACCTGGTTCAGCCGTGCCACGGTGCGTGCGAATCATGGGGAGAGCAGCTCACGGGAAGGTGTGCTGCTTGCTGAGCTTCCCGAGGCCAGGTCAGCTTTGAGCACCTATTTTGCTCCGTATTGCAGAGCTCAGACATGCCCCGTGTCTGTGTTCAGGTCCTGCCTGCTCCTGAAAGCCTGGCTGCTGGATGTGTTGGGGCATCGTTTGCCTCCCGAGAGCGAGGATGTAAGTCTCAGATGTCTCAAGACCAGGTGCTGGAGCAGAAGCCAGGAAAAGTCACTGTGACTTTTGAGAAGGAATATTTGAAGCGATGAAGGGGATTTTGGAACCAGAGCCAGCAGCATCCAGCTTTAGGGTCTTAACTTGAAAGACTCTTCTATCTAACCAAAAATGCATAGGAACAAACAACTCTCCAAAAGCTACACTAGCAAAGCTGTTGTATTCTTTCCAGCTGGTAGAGAGTATTTCATATTGTGTTTTTTAATTCCTCCTCTTCGTTTGTTTTTCCCCATGAATCAGCCTCCCACTCCGTTTTCCCTTACCTTAGTGTGTGCTTGTCTTCCCAAAATCTCTGTTTCTCTGAGGTTCATTTTCCTGTACGTTTCTTTTGGGAACATGAACATGGGTGATACTTCGGTCAGGAACTCTAACCTGCCATGTGTATAAATGCAAAGTCTGATTATTGCAAAAGTGTTTGTAATTAAAGTGTCACAGAACATTTCACAGCTGATTGGTCAAAATGTGTGAATTACTGCCAGGGGAGTAGTTTATAATAACTTGCTGAAATGATTTCTCATTCCGTTCCTTTTTGTTTGCCTAAAGCCCATGAAGATTTTCCTAGATTTGATTTTAATCATTCCACGTTTTCTCACTCTGTATTAGCTACTCAACACCTTGCTAATGCAAATTTGGAATATCTGAGACTGTCTGCACAAGGTGTAGCATGTGGCATCGTCTCCCAGTCAGGAGAACTTTCCATCAAATTGCCAATGCTAATCCTAGCAGGGAAATTTATTTTTATTTTTAATCTGGGAGGATAAGTTAAAAAGTAATGAAATGTGAAAGAGGTGTGAAGACCACAGAAATACTCCATTTGTAATGACTGTGGTTGAAAGTCCACGGGCAGCTTTTCTCAGCAGTTGCTGCCCTCTTACCTGCTGTCAGCTGAGTTCCTGTATCAGGTTGGATATCCGTTGGATACAAGGTGTAGGGTTTTCTGGAGGAATCAACATGCAGAAACCTGACCTTGTCAGTGACAGGAGTTCCAATTTTTTTACTACTCTTCATTTATTCTCAGCTGTTGGAAAGGAGCTAGGTCCCTGCAGCCTTTGAAATCAAGAAACACATCTGAACCAACTTGCATGGCAGCAGACAGTATCCCAAACTGAGGTCTGAAGGACCGTTTGTTTCCAGTCTTACTCACATCCCTGTAAAATGTGTCTCAGAGAACATAACGGATTGTTAGGCTGAGCTTTCTGATTTGCAGAGAGGGTTTTATTCCCTGAAGTAACAAGCACCCAAATCAATCATTCAGCTTGTTAAAGTGGAGTGGAAGAGCATGCAAAAGCCTTTGAAGCACCTTTTTCTGAAGGCTTTTCTCTTGGTGTGTTCCACGTTCCTGCCTGGCTGCTGCTTAAATAACTTGAGAAGATTCAACGATAGCACTTCTGCACTCCCCATCAAACTCTCTGGATGCAAAACAGTCATGAAAATGAGATTACTTCTTAATATACCAGCACCCTGGGATCAATAAAATTTCTGGTGCAGGTCAAAGCAATAACAGCAAAGGTGGGGGCAAAACTGGGAGAGATTTGATGGGCTTGGGAGATGTGAATGATTTCAGGGGAAAAACGCACTGAAGATTCCACAACCAGAGCTTGAGCAGCAACTGATTCCAGGTGTTGAGTAGTCCCCAGTGCATATGTGACTGGTGAACATCTCTGGGATGGGGAGGAGAGTTACGTGTGTGGCGAGTTTGGTCCCGTACGTGTTAGGTACCTGTAAGGCTATTGGAAAGACTCTGGTGCCCTGCAGGTAGCCAGGGTTAAGAATGTCAAGCAAGTAGAACAAGTAGCACAACCCTTGGAGCAGTCATCTGGCTTCACTGGGGACAAACAGCAATTGGTGGATCAGCCGTACTGTCTCCGGTTACCCAGGAAACTGGGGATTGCCCCAATTATGCCTGGCGGTTGCAAGTTACGTTTATCCACAGGATGCTATCAACACACAGCTGCTGGGCTCCTTCCCTTGCAGTACTGGTTTGCAGGAATTCTGCCTGGAGAGCTCGGGGACCGATTTTATCAAGAAGTCTTTCAGGTGCTGCTGCTGTACTTGAGGACGGTGCCAGGCAGAAGCCACATCTATACGTTTGTGTCTATTTAGATTGGAGGAAACAAACCCCCTATCCTCTTGCAGTAGTTGCACTTAAGGTAATTTATAAATTTATCACAGATAATACCTTAGAAGACATAGCACAACAACAACATTAAACACTGCCACTAAGAGAGGCAACATAACATGGTATTCCCGTAGGAACGATCCCTTCCCACGCGCTGTCGCTCTGCGTCCGGGAGGGAAGGAGCTGTGCTCGAAGCGGGTGTCTGTGTGTGTGTCAGTGCTTGCCCTGGTGCTTGTGTGGGTGGGGGATAAAACTCTCAAGCTGTGCTGAACCACGACGAGGTGATTAATCCCAAAGGCTGAACGCGCCGCGCACGGCTCATTAATACGGATGTACCGGTGACATTTCTCTAAATCTCTTCAGCGCTCCTAGGAGCATCCTTGAAGGGCAGGCAGTGTCCTGATCATCCCGTACTGCTGGGATTACAAGCACTTTTCAAGGGCTCACGGGGCATTCAGCAGATTTGAGGCTCGTGCCTTGTCTTCCAGGATTTATTTTTTCCTCTTTTTTTTTTTGAGATCCTTGTGGAAACTTCTCTGTCAGTATAGAAACGTAGCAGGGAATGTATTGAAAATAAGTTTTGGTGATACTAGAAGATACTCTAAAGGCAGTTGAGAGGATTCAGTCACTGATATGGGTTCTGGGAATTTTATTTGTTTGCTTAAGTTTTGCTTCGGTGAGAAAGGAAATGATTACTGTTGATGCTGGACAATATACTGCAATAGTGGCACTAAATTGTAATTATTATTGTGTTGATGACTTGCAGGCCCTCGACTCTGGGAGAAGACTCACTGTTTAGGTGGCTTGCAGAAACGTACTGCCAGGCTCATCAGTCTTGAAAATCTGTCAGGTTTTGGGAGTGTTCTGTTTTGGGGTTGTTATTCATTGTGTTGACATCGCTGTTGTTGTTTTTCTGCTCCTACGGAGGTATAGGTGCCCTTTATTTTGGTGGGAAAATAAGTTTGGGGAGACATACAGGCTGTTTACTTGTTCTGATTTATTTTTGCAGCTTGACAGGCACCACAGTCCCTGATCTCATCGTTAGCACACACCACCAGATGTGGCTCCTCTTCCAGACAGACAGTGTCAGAAACTTGCTGGGATTCAAAGCAACATATGAAGGTAATCCAAGCATCTCTCAGAATTTACTTGTTTTCAAAAGATCAGGGATAAGATGGGTACAGTTGTTTGCTAGAAAAGAGAGAAAGAAGCTTCTCTAAAAATATTGAAACTCTGCAGATTTTTTTTTTCTTAAAACTGAAGCTTTGCTCCATTAAGAACAGCTTTCCTGATTTCTTTTCCATGAATGCAGACTGGGTGGGTAATGTTTCGTTGCCCTTTCATCTGCTTTGTTGGAAAAGAGTTGGTGAATTCCAGCTCGACAGCAACAGACTCTGTCTGCGGGATAAAATGAGATCAAGTAATCAGTGGTTCCAGTAGATTAGTGGTATTGACTACTTTAAACTTTGGTCTGGAGTATTACAGATGAAACAAAAGTTAATGCTGGGATTTTTCAAAAGATGCTCATGAAATGCAGTAAGATGTGAATGCTGAACTCTGTCATAAGCTTCTGTGTTTACTGTTGTGGTTGATATTTGCAAAGTTAGAGGAAGTGTGATGGAAAAGTGTTCCTTCTAACTCACAGAAGTGCCTGGTGACTCTAGCTGAAGCTTTTGTTAGGTTCCTGGTTTGAGCTGGTTTTAGATTTTTCCAGAAGTCTCCATCTCGTGTCTCCACATTTGGTGTGAGCACCTCTGGTCCTTGGCTTCCTCTGCGAGCGCCGCTCGGAAGAACCTGCTCCCTGTCTTCCTGCCGAGGGGAGCGCGTTTCTGTGCCGCAGACACGGGAACGCTTCCTCCTGCGTGTCAGCTTTTTTGGTGTAGTCATCTTGAATCTCCTTTCAGGACACTTGAACACCTTTCAGTTTTCTCTCTGACCTGCTGATACCAGGGATGGCTTGCTCTCGTGACTCTGATGCCCAAAAGCAGGCACACAAATCTTCATCTAGCCCTGGGGCTGCTCCTGGAATGCTCGGGTACCAGCAGCTTCCACTGACAACAGTGGTAATATTGAAATCCATTTCTTTCAAAGGCCCTAAGTGCCCTTTTTGTTCCTTTTTAAAGAGCATTTTCCTGGGACTTACCATGTTTCAGGAAAGTGTCATATTGTGTTCAGGCCACCCCTACTTGCCGCTGTGGATGGGCGACAGCGTTGGCCGGCTCTGCTCTGAGATCCTGCCTGGTTTGTTCCTCTCATCCAAAGGGCAACGTGGACATATTCTTTCAGTCTCTTGATAAATCTTATGTTTACCCTGTAGCACAGCACGTGAAGTTGCAAAGCACATGATATAGGGACTTCCTTATCCTGTTGTTCATTTTCTGTGAACTTTGGATCTATAAGGAGCTTGACTTTTCCTCCTCTGACTTGCTTTGATGTCATTGGTAGCTTGATTTGTTGCAAGGCTGAGCTGCTCTTGCTCCCTGTGACCTTGCCAGCCGTTTTGGGGATCACCATTATCATTCATGCTTTGGAGTCCTGTCATATGGAGCTTCTAATGTCAAATGTGCTTCTCCCTTCCCTACCCATCAGCTTTACCTGCACACTGCTGCCTATTTTGCTCTACTCTTCTGTGTCCATAACCTCCTAGAGAGGAAGAAGAGAGTGTTCTGGCTCTGCTGTCCTCTGAGCCTTAAAGGAGGGACCTTTCTCTGGGGAGTGTCTGTCTTTTGCATACATTAGGAGTAGGGGTTGCTCTCTGCCTATTCAAGTCTTTTTCTCAAGGTTTTGCACAGCAGCTTCTTGATCTTGCAAGATGGATTTGTGCACAAACAAATAAATATGCTCCACACCTAAGGTCCATGCTGGAGCTCTCCTGAGGTTAAGCTAACCTCCAGTCAGCCAGGTCCATAAACGCTCTTAAGTTTTTGCAAATGCATTGAGTTACAAAGCAAGAGACACTGAAGTAAGAGGCAATTAGCACTTGCCAAATACATTATGAAATTATATGCAACTTACTAACAAGTTTCAGGATGAGTTTTATGGCCGCGCTTCTTCCTAATTGCGAGAGGAAAATTGCAGCTAATGGAGCTATATAAAGTCAAGACAGAAAATCTGCCTAATAGAAGGGCAGAGTATTGCTTATAGAGTATGCTTAAGCAGCCATCTATCCTAAACCACGTACGTTTTAGTGCACGTTTTAAGTGTAATGCAGCCATAAAGCCTGTTGGTAGTGCTGAAACAGTTATGCCCAAGAGATTGATTGGTGCACGGATTCAAGGACCTGTTGGAAGGAACACGCTGAGGAGGGGGCAAGGTGCTGTGGAATTTTTAATGTGGGGTTCCTGAGGAGGGGGAGCCGAGCAGGTCCTTTTGCTTCGCTTGTGACTAAGGAGAAAGCATATTTGCACCAGGGAGAGTATGCAAAACACAAGGCAGCTGGATTCAGGTTTTTCCAAATCTGCACTGCAAGATGGGATGTGTTTGGAACAAGTGCTCCACAGGTGTAAATCAGTGTGACAGCATTGATTTTCAGTTAAGCTGTGTCAGTCTTTAGCAGCTGAGGATCTGGCTCATTAATGTTCATGAAGATTACTTCTAAATCTCCAATGTCTCAACTGCAGCCGCTCTTATCCTTTTGAACAGACTTTCTCTCATAATAGTGAACAATGTTTTTGGACTTCCAGTGCTTGTCAGAAGAAATTTGTATTAAGCTCCACTTTGCAGGAAAAGTCTTTTCTTTCTCACAGCTATAGCAAGCTGGTTGATACTGCAATTTAGTGCTTGACTTGTGAGAGGACTTAGAGCCTCCTGGGGTCCTGGGTCAGGTCTTCTCCCTTTTTTCCTTTAACCTCAGACAGCTTCTTCTGAGAATACCTTCCCCTTAAAGCAGCCCGGTGCCTTCCACAGCCATCGAAAGGGTTCTTTGAAGGTTTCCAGGTCAACCCCTCGTAATGGTTGGGAATAAATAATTTCTTCAGGTAGCATTTACAAAAGTTCTTGAGAAATTTAGAGCTCACTGAAGAGGATTGACTCCCCTAATCTCATCTGCAATCCTTCTGCAGTTGTGTTCCCCGTCGGTGGACTGAAGATGTTTGGTCTCCCTCACAGGGGAGGTGTGGGGAGGAAACAGGTTTCTGTTACTGATGAGCTTGAGGTTATTACAAGTGATAGCATGAAAGTAAATCAACACTATAAAATTCTGTGGTAAGAGACAGAAATATTAAAACACGAAAAAATAGAACAAAGCCAGATTTTAATTTAGTCTTACATTTATATTTATATATTTTGAATATAAAGTAATAATTTAGAATTAAAACTAGATTTATGGGCACACACACGCTAATGTGGTTTGGATTTCTGTGGGAATTGGGTTAGTTTGGGTAGAGCTGACGAAGGTCTACATTCTGAACTACCAGCATGCTGCAGGCAGGGGATGATTAAACAATATTTATTGTTGTTGAAATGCTGACTAAGGGTTTGGCTCTCGAGAGCTCAGCTTTAGAGCTGAAATTTAGCCCCATGGTGCTAAGAGGCTTAGGAGCTCTGCAGAGCTGGAGCCTGAAGATTTCTTCTGCTGGCCTGTATGGTTTTAATCAAATTGGTGCTGCCTGAGGTGTTTGGTGGGATGAGCCTGCTGGGTTTTCACCTCTGTTTTCATATGTATGTTGTATGTAAATACAGAACTATCTGTATAGATACCTGCATGCAAGCTGCGTGTAAAGGTGTTCATACACGTGTATATATGTCAAATTGAGAACAAACAATAATGTCTTAAGTTGCCTGATCCTGGGAGCCTTGGGGGAAAAATAGACTTATCTGAAGCTAGTTCTGATGTTGTTCAGAGTTGGCGTTCGAAGCTCTGTGCTGTGGAGCACTGTCTGGTTTTGTCTAGTGAGATGCTCTCAGGTGTCACCAACAAGCCCAGACAACATACAGGTACTTCTTGTTTGTGTGTACTTATGTATTTTAGGTTCTACATTACCTGATCCCCCAATATTGTCGATGGTGGAAGTCTGTCAGCAACCTTAGTGTTTGTATCTTTCCTGCTCTGCTTTTCCATTAAAAGTATTGACTCGTGTCATAAAACACTGGTG